GGGGGGGGGGGATTTCTCTCTTTCTGTCTCTCTGTCTCTCTCTGTCTGTCTGGCGAGCGCACATGCCCTATAGCAAAAACCTCTCCAAAAAAAAATCTCTAAAAGATTTTTAAAATGATTTATGTATTTAATCTTACTTGTCATTATTTTTCACTTTGACCAGAGATAGAAAGAGAGAGAAAGGGAAGATGAGAACGCAGGGCACCAGGTCCAGGATTCATACCACAGTTTAGCCATACGGGAGTCCAGCGCCTTAACTACCTCACCATCTGCTGGCCCCAGAAAGCAAGTCACCAGGTCCGGGACTCAAACCATGGCCAGTCATATGGGACTCTAGTGCCTTAACTACCCAGATTGCGGTGTGGCCATCCCCCTGGGGGTGATTTATTGCTTTGTCTCTCTGGCGAGCACATGTGCCCTATTGCAAAAAAAAAAAGAATATCTCCTTCAGTCACTGTTCCCTTCCTTTTTCCTTTCTGCCATTCTCCCCTCAACCCCAAAAGGACAGCTTGATTCCGAAGTCTTCAGGACAGTGGTAAGGTCATCTCAGCTCAATCTTTGGCTTGGCGACTTGAGCAGGGCACCTCTCCCTCTTGTACCCACTCACCATGGCTGTCCTCTGAGTCTCTCCTTTTACCCCATCATCCTTATGGAAGCCACCTCAGACGTCTAAGGGGTGCCATTTTCTGTCAGTGCAGCCCGTACCCTCCCTAGATCCCCTTCATCCCACCCCCAGCCAAGGGCCCAGTGGAAGGTCTGGGCTCAGGCCAGGGCCGTGTGTATTTCAGGCCACAGACAAGAGGAAGGCGCTGGAGGAGACGATGGCCTTCACCACCCAGGCACTCGCCAGTGTGGCCTACCAGGTGGGCAACCTAGCCGGGCACACTCTTCGTATGTTGGACCTGCAGGGGGCTGCCCTGCGGCAGGTGGAAGCCCGCGTGAGCACACTGGGCCAGGTAAGGGTGTGGAAAGGAGTCTCGCCTCAGACCCTAACTATTCAGCTGCACTTAGACATCCTTGGCAACGAAAGCTCCTTCCTGCCTCCCTCCATGTCCAAATGCCGACCTCTCCTACAGAGAGTAGAGCTTCCCAGGCTCCGGGCCTGCACGTCTTGGTGGTTGTCTCTGCTGGGACTTGCTGCCCCACTGTGCTATCAATTCCCTAAAGGCAGAGCTTTTCCTTTTCCAGATTCTACCGCGGACATTAGAAAGCACTATTAGGCCAGCCAGGTGGCGTGGTGGTTAAGGCATCTGAATCCCACTCACATGGGGGACTGCGCAGTTCGAGTCCCAAACTCAGCAGCTTGAAAAACATGCTGGACATGTGTGTGTGCATGCCCAAAAACCCAAGAAGAGAGTGGAGGAGAAGGGATTGCTGTGTGGTCATCCCCCGGGGTGGGGGTGATTTCTCTCTTTCTCTTCCTCTCTGTATCTCTCTGGTAAGTGCACGTGCCCTATAACAAAACTCCAAAAAAGGGAAAAGTCAGCAGTGTTACCAATCCCGATGGCTACATGGTACAGGAAAGACGCACAGGGGCCCTGTCTGCATCTGACCACAGTGCTGGGACTTGAGAAATGTCCTAGCCCCTGGTGCTTGCTGGACAAGGCCATCTTCAGCCCTGAGAACACCAGGCGGCCACTGCACAGTGCCCCCCGCCCTTCTAGCATACACACCCTCCTCCTTCCTTCCTGGATCCTTGACCGAGGATTTGCCCCATCACATGCACAGGTCCAGGCCTGCGCATCACCCACATGGCCAGCACATGGGGTGTGTCTCTTCCTCTCACCCCAGCAAACCGGACTTCCCACCCTCTCAAAGCTGTAGGCTTCTCTACGGAACATTCCGAGAGGAAGTTAGTTCATGCAGTTGTCCCCTAAAAGCGAGGGCCGGTCCAGCCATGATTGTCCACCGCCTCCCCATGATGCCCCTCCGCTCCCTAGCCGGCCCAGTGCTTCAGCCTCTTCCCAGCATCCCCAGGGATGTGTTTCCTCTGTCCCTCCTGTTCCTGCCCAGCTAATAATAACCCTCATTCTCTTCCACCAGGAAGTTGCTCTGAAGTGGCTTCGTCCTTCCCCAGCTACTCTTTCCAATTGCTGCGTGGCTCTGGGAACAAAACTCACTCTTTTTATGGACCTCACTGCCTCCCATGGTCCCCAACCTCACCCCAGTCTCTCCTCTTCCTCCCCGAGGGGAAGGGTGCTAGACCCGACTGTTATCTCAAACCCTGTTCTGCAGATGGTGAGCATGCATATGGAGAAGGTGGCCCGAAGGGAGATTGGCACCTTAGCCACTGTCCAGCGGCTGCCCCCTGGCCAGAAGGTCATCGCCCCCGAGAGCCTACCTGCCCTCACGCCCTACTATAGGAAACCCCTCAACTTTGGCTGCCTGGATGACATTGGCCATGGAATCAAGGTAGAGCAAGGGGCCCCTCCTCTTTCCTCTCTCATTCTCCCCTGCCACGTGGCTGTTTCTCTCCAGGTCCCCAGCTCTCGTCCACATTCACATTCCAACCTGCAATCCTTTTCCTTCTCCTGAAGCCATCATCACCCTGAGATGATCATCACCCCCTCCTCCCTGAACCTTTCCATCCTTCCACGATGCCCTCCCTCCATAGCCCTCCATAGCTGGCCTTTACCCTGAACTCAGAGCATCTGCTGAGTGAGATCCTGGGCACTTCCCCCGCCCCCTCTGTGGGTGCTGGGTATGAAGCGCTGGGTGCAGGGGAGGTGGGGGAGGGTGTGCATGAGAACGCTTTGCAGCCACATGAGAACAGCAACTTCCTCTGTCTGGGGTTTGAGGTCAGGCACTGAGCAGTCACCCCAGAGCTGCCAGTGGTGGGAACTGCCAAGAGATGCAGCATAGAGGGGACATGGTGAGGAGGGGAGTGTGACCGGCATTTTTGTCTCAGCCCATCTCCTGCAAGGCTGGACAGGGCACACCTCACACGTGCCCGGCCCATCAGTCCCTGTCTCCACTCTTGGACATTCGATCAGATTAGAAGTGCCCCTGCCTCTCCTGTACATGGCCCCCTAATATCCTTAAGACAATGTCTTCCTCAAAGAGGAAACTACACTCCCTCCTTCAGCTGACAGCCAGCCAAGTTCCTCCTGTTGTCCAGCTTACATTCTTCAAGCTTCAAGACCCATTTGTCCTGACCCTCCCTAGCTAAGTGTAGCACTCCCCAAGTGCTCCTCCTTGGGGAAACCCCATCAGTATGTAGATTTGTGCCCTGCCATTCCTATACTCTTATCTAAGTGTCTAGGGTCCAGGCCTCTCTGCCGGGAACCCCCCAAAGCCAGTTCCATCGGTCTGCGAATAAACAGATGAGACACTTCTAAGTGTGACCGATCCTCTCCTTTCCCCGCCCCTTCTCACTCCCCCACCCACCCCTGGGGGCCTAGTCGGAGACCACCAAGCCCAGGCTCCAGCGCCCCGGCTGGGCTCAGTGCGGTTTGGGGGAGGGATGGGGGCGACAGCCTCCAGCCAGCTGTGGCTATGCAGAGGAAGTGGCCGTCGCACAGCTTCTGAGCTCTTCGAGGCCCTGGCAGACTTGAGGCAGGGCCCCAGGCAATGCTGGCGGCGGGAGGGGGCTGGGAGTGGAAGCGGGAACTTGCTGTGCCGGCGCTCTCACTCCCAGTTCTCGCCCGCCCCTCCCCCACTTCCCCTATGGGTGAGGCTGGAGTCACCCCTACCCCAGATGCCAGCCCTAGCACCTGCTCCCTCGCAGGACCTGAGCACGCAGCTGTCGCGGACCGGGACCCTGTCTCGAAAGAGCATCAAAGCGCCTGCCACACCCGGCTCCGCCACGCTGGGGTGAGGCTTCCCAGCGATCCCCACCTGCCTGGTCCTGTCCCGCGCGATCCTGCGACTCTGGTCGTCCCCCCCTCCAGCACCCGGCGCCCTGATGCTCGTGAAGCAAGGCGCTAAGTTCCCTCCGCCCGCCGGCGCCTTATGCTCGACCCTGCTCCTGCTCTCAGGAGCCCTCTTTCCGCCTCACCATCACCCCCACCCCTAGGCGACCACCCCGGATCCCCGAGCCAGTGCATCTCCCCGTGGTGCCCGACGGCAAGCTCTCCGCCGCCTCATCTGCGTCTTCCTTGGCCTCGGCTGGGTGAGTCCTGCTAACTAGTCCACGACGGGTGGGTGGGCGGTGGGAGGGAGAGGCTATGAGAGGGACCCCCTGACAGCTGCCACGCGGCTACAAGGGAAGAACTGCAAGGTCAAGGGGCGGAGCCAGCCAGAACAGCCTGGTTAGAGGTGTCCGCCAACGGATTCGAGCCCGCTCTCTCTGGTTTCCAGCAGCGCCGAAGGTGTCGGTGGGGTCTCCACGCCCAAGGGGCAGGCAGCGCCCCCGCCCCCTCCACTCCCCGACTCCACCGGGCCACCTCCTCCGCCAGCGGCCGCCGAGGTCTTCCTGCTGCCTCCGCCCCTGGAGGAGCTGGCCCCGCCCCCGCCGGGTAAGACGCTCCGCCCTCTCCTCCTCCGCCTTGGGACTCACACTCCCAAGTGCGGACGTTCCTCGCTCCCCTGGTGGATCTAACTCGGACGGCCTCGGGGAACGCTCCGACCAAGTGTGTTGGGGGAGACCGGAGGAAAAGAACTGCAAACTTAGTGCCTGCTTTGTATTAGGCGCTGAGTGTGTCGAAGCTGCTCCCCCAATTTCTCACTCGGCAAGCTTGAGGATTCCTACACGCCCATATAACAGATGCAGCAGCTGAGGCCGAGCTCGACGGCTTGGCCAAGGGTCGCCCAGCTTATAGGTGGTAGGGTCCGACCATCCTATACTCTTTCCGAGCGTCCTGGGCACCCACGATGCGCTAGGGGACTAGGATGGGAGAAAGCTGGAGACAGACAAAATGGGCAGGCCCGGCTCTGGAGCAGGGAAGTTACCCGATATGCAGCAGTACCCCCTGACCGACGGCCCCTGTACCTCACTTCAGCCTTTCTGTTCTTCTCCCAGCCGACGAGCTGTTTCCGCCCCTGGACCTGCCCCCTCCCCCGCCCCTGGATGTGGAAGAGCTGGGGCTGCCGCCGCCACCCCCGCCAGGCTTTGGACCGGATGAGCCCAGCTGGGTCCCTGCTGCGTACTTGGAGAAAGGTACTAGACCCCTGAGACTGAAGTGCACTAAGCCCACCCCCTCCGCCCCGATTCTGGCCTCTTTGCCAACCCCAGTCTTCCACCCGAGGCATCCTTCCCTCCTGTGCAAAGGTGCGAGCCCTTCACGCACGCCGACGAATTGAGCTCTGTTCCAGGCTGGGAAGAGAGCAGGTGGCCTGCTACCGAATAGTACCTGAGCTGAGTGGTCCTTCAGGGTTACAAGCCCCCTCCCTGAAAGGTGCTCCCTAGAGTCCCTGCATCTGCATTAGGGGGGCAGGAAGCACATTCCACAGCACCCTCCCCCTATCTCCTCGCAGTGGTAACCCTGTACCCATACACCCGCCAGAAGGACAACGAGCTCTCCTTCTCTGAGGGCACCGTCATCTGCGTCACCCGCCGCTACTCGGATGGCTGGTGCGAGGGCGTCAGCTCAGAGGGGAGTGGATTCTTCCCCGGGAACTATGTGGAGCCCAGCTGCTGACAGCCGGGGACTTTCTGGGCATGCACAGAGGCTTTGCCAAGCCAGCCCCACAGTCAGGACTGGGCTAGGTCTGCCGGTCTTAGGCTGGGAGCTGCATTCTGCCCCTCCCCCCATCGCGGTCTGAAGGGGTTCTGGGGAGAGACAGGAGGTACCCAGAGGCCTGCTGCAGATGGGAAGGACCTGGAGGCCAAAGAGTATCTCCATACTCCAGCGAGTGCCAACTTTGAATAAAACTGATGACTTCCGATGACTGACCTGCAGGACTAGAGGGCCAGAGAGCAGAGGATTGACAAGCATCCAGTTCTAGAGCTCTGGCTAATTATAGACGCCCATCCCCAGCCTGACCCTAGCTGCGGTTCTTCTCGTCTCTTCAGCCCTCAGTAAGTGCAGCCACACTGGACCCCAGGTGGCCCTCTACAGCCATGGACTGCAAGTTGTTCTTTGGCCTGTTGCTTGCTGTGTTGTGTTCAGTTTTGGTTCCTCCAGCTAGGCTCTTGCCCAAGAACGGGGGCCATCTCTCTCACGCAGGCGGGGCTCTCTGAGAGCAGAGAGCACCTCACTCACCCCTCAGACTGCGGCGCGAGAGATCAGTCACCTCTTTTCCCCGTCACCTCCTTTTATAGTTCTGAAACACAGAAGGAGGGGCTTGGGTTTCGCTGGCTTTGCTTAAAAAGATGGCTTTCTGTTCCGTACGAGAGGAGGGGGCGTGGAGGGGGCCCGCGGGGGCCACTTTGGTGAAGTCCCTGGTCTCTTGCTGCATAGACGAAGCTGGGGTGCGAGAAGACACCGTCGCACGCTGCGAGGTCCCTGGCTGTTGGGACCCGCGCCCGACCGTGTGCTACCTCGTTCCACCACTAGGAGGCGACTGTTCCCCCTGGCTTTTTTTCCTTAGGGGATGCTGGAGGAGTGGGCAGGGGGAAGGGAGGAAAGGTGTAGCAAGTACAGAAAGTGTGGAGTGGCGCTGGGTGAAGTAAGACCGAGGAGGCTTAGAGCCGTCTTGGGGAAGAGTCATCTATCTCTGCGGGGAGTCTGGTGTGGCCATGAGAATTTCAAGATCCTGGTTCCTCTTGATAGTAAGACTAGGGGAGAGGAGGTTACGAAGCCGCAGCCAGAGGAGACAGTTAAAGCAAGGGCAGGTGTTCCTTCTCTCACCTGCCAGAGATCTCCTTCCTCCCAGTTGAGAGGACAAGCTTTTTGGAAACCGTGCTGCCTTTCAGGGTATGCGCATCACCCCCTGCTGGACTAGACCCAAGAATGTAACTGTCTGCAGTGGAACCGGGAAAGGGAGCCCAGCTTTGTGAACTCACAAAAGGGGGTGGCTCTGAACCATACCCCCCAGCCCCCAAATGGACGAGATTTCAGAAATTCCCAGGTGATAGCAAAGCGCAAGGGAAAAGGGAATAGTAAAACTAGGTTTGTCTTTCCCAGTTCCCCCCTCCCCACCCCCTTCTCCTCCCGCTCGCCAGACGCGCCCCCTGCAGGCCGCGGTCCTCAGCACGTCTTCAGCACCTGCTGCAGGTGTTGGCGCACGTCGGCTGCGGTTTCCCAGGGCACCACGCTGGCGCGGAAGGAGCTGGGCTCCGCCTTCTGCGCCTCTTGGATGAGGCGGTGCATGGGATAGCCCCGGCGCGGGAAGGCCACGTCGCCGCCCGCCAGCAGGCCCATCGGGCAGAAGTCGTTGGCGCCATCACCCACGTAGAAGAGGCGCTCGAAGTGCACGCCGTCGTGGGCCCGCTCGCGCAGGTAGTCGCTGAGCACCTTGTGCTTGCACATGTTGGCGGGGCAGCGCGTGCAGCTGTGCGTGTGGAAGGGCCGCAGTGCCAGCAGTCCCCGCGCGTCGGGTCCCGAGGGGTTGCTGAGGATGCGACGGAACAGGCCGTGGTGGCCGGCGGCGCGCAGCGCGCTCTCCACACCAAAGGTGTTGGCATCCGAAATGAGAATAACCTCGAAGCAGGAGCCCTGCTTGGCCACAAACTGCAGCAGGTCGCCCATGCCTGGTGACAGGGGGATGGCCTCGTAGACGGCGCGCAGGTCCCGCGGCCGCACGCCCTGCTCGCCCAGGTACTTGAAGACCCGCTGCATGTACTCGTTGTAGAAGCCCTCGCGGTAGGTGGCACGCAGGCTATCCGGCAGCCGCTGGCCCGGGGCCGCGCGCACGATGGAGTCGTCGCTGTTCTCGTCCACAATCGTCTCGTCGAAATCGAAGGTCAGAAGAAAACGCGGCGCGCCCTGCGCAGCCATCCCTTGGTCCTGGGAGCAGGGAGGAGAGGAGGAGGAGGAAGGGACAAGCGAGAGGGGGCGCGGCGGGAGCCGGCCGGAGAGAGGCTGGTTAGCGGGCCACAGCCAGAGGCGCTGGCTCGTCCAAGACCTGAAGAGGACCCAAGGCTGGTTAAGCTGACAGTAGTACTCAACGCCACCGCCTCCACCCAACCTTCCCGCCCACCCCTTGGCACCTCTTGGCTGCGCTGGGGTTTAGCCCAGAGGAACGTGTACTCCTGAACCGGAAGGGCTTCCTTGGCACGTGTTTCTGCTAGTCCCGTTGGGGGGCTACCAGCGGTTAAGGGTCCGCGTAAGGGAAGGAAAGAGCAGCTTTTACAGGGTCAGGGCTCTGGGAGGTTTCTGAAGTACATTGTTTTGGAGACTTTTCAAAGGCTCCTGTCCTGAGTGTGGATACAGAGGCGCGGGAACTCTCCTCCCTCTCCCTCCCTAACACAAGCAGAGGCAGGGGACCCCATCCACTCACCCCGCTGGCATAACCGCCCCCTCCTCTTTTGGGCCCAGCGAAGCCAGTGGTTTTGGGGACTGAGGTGGGCAATCAGGGGTTAGGCTCCAGGGCAGACTTTCTGCCATTATCTGGGGCATGCAGACCAGAATGCCAGGTCCTCTGGCCTGGCTGGGAGCTGACTGCCAGGCCTGGGGAGTTACAAGGCTGGGCCGGAGAACTGGATTTTAGTCCTCAGAATAACCAGGTAGGTCGCTGACCATGCAAGACCCAGGAAGGCTCCCTGGGAGCTGCTTCCAACCCCATGGTGCCGGGTAGGGTCCAGGGGTGGGACACAGCTTCTCCGGGGATGACAGGGCCCTGTGCTGACAGCTCATCACTAATCACTTGCCAAGTCCCTGGGTGGAAGGTGTCAGCGGGTGGGGTTTCTGCCAGAGTCCGAAGCAAGCGGGCAGCAGGAGAAGCAGTGGGGCTTGGGGAGGTAGGAGCCAACCGCGCCAGGCCACGACATACCTGGGAGACAGGTAAGGGAGAGGAAAGAGAGCAGCAGTGGCTGAAAAGGCACAGGAGGAGAGAGCAGGGCCTGGGGACATGGAGCGGGGTAGGAAGAAGCCATGCTAAGGAGTACGGAGGCCGACTGCTGGGCAGGAAGACAGGGCAGGGGTGGGCAGCTCCAGGAAGTGGAGACCTTGGGCCAGAGTCTTGTTGAGGATGGGAGGGTGGAGGGCAGCATGGGAGAGGATGGGGCAATAGGGGAGGTGTGAGGCCCAAAGAAAGGCAAGCAAACAGGCAGCAGGAGCCCTCGCTACACGTCCCGCACCTTTGCCAGCCTGCTTGTGCTGTGTGAGGCTACAGGGAGAGTTGGGCACACACAGCTTTTGAAAATTCACTGTACTGCCCTCCCTTCCTGCCCCTGGCCTCCCACCGGATTAAGTGAGATAGAGCCATTCCTCCTCCTGGTTTTGTCCTACCCGCCTCGGATATTCCTGGGACATTTATGGCATGGCGCACCTTGTGAAACAGAAGACCAAGCTCCTCATTTCAGAGCTGGGCTTTGAACCTGGCTATCTGCCTTCCTAACAGAACTGTTCCTTCCTCCTCCTCCCTCCAGTCACCCTCTGTGGCCCAGGATCCCTGGAGGTGAAGGTATAAAGCATCAGGACCCCACACTTGGGACAGAAGCTTCCAGAGATTAGTGAGCCCCAGGGGAGGAGAAGGCAACCCTCCAAGGGACTAGGTAGAACCCTTCCCACCCCATGGGGGGAAAGTGGGGGCTGTGGCTTCAGCCTAAAAGATGCCTGGAGGGACCTACTTACCCTAGACAGGCATCGGAGGCCAACGACTGGAAAGCACCCGCTCATTGTCAGCACATCACCCTGGGCACCACTGTAGGGACTCTCTTGGCCTCCAGCCGTCCTCCAGAGCCCCTGACAACCATAAGAGTCTGCAGTGAGGGTGCCTGACTACTCTGGTAAACAACACTACCCTCTTTCAGAAGTACAGAAGTACTCATCGGTGGGAAAATTAGGCCCAATAAGTAGCTCCAACAGGCACTGCATTTACGACCACAAACCACCTCACTAGGCAGCTCTTAAACAGCCCCTACCACGCTGGAGAAGTTATAGGAACTATTATTGGAGGCACCGGGAGGTTAGTCGGCTTGCCCAAAGGCCTCCTGCTGTAATTGGCAGAGACAGATCTCAGAAGCCGGGACCAGTGCTGTTTTCCTCCTGGTATATGCATTGCCCCTTATGTGTGTTTATAAATCACCTTCATTTATAGTCTCCCTACTCGACCCCGTGGATTCGGCAGACAAGAAGGGCCCAGAGAAGGTCACTTAACTTTCCATTGCTGTTTGCATGGGGCAAAAGCCTGATTCATGAACACCTGGCTAGTTTTGCCATGCCCATGACCTCAAAAGGGAAGGGGCAGCTGGTCAGGGCTAACTGTACCACAGCTGGTAGGCTGGGACCCCTGGGTCCCACAGGTAATCTGGGACTGGCCTCCCTAGAGATGCAGCAGTCAGACAGATTGAAATCCCTGCAGGTCTTTGCTTTGTGGCTTTGGGGTCTGGTCTGGCCTCCTGAGGCCTTCAACAACGAGCTTCAAAGGACACTGTCTACAGTTTCCAGTTCCTTGTCCTTCCCTCCCCTCCTTCCCGGAACTGGGTGAGAGACTAGAGGCATGGGGACAGATTTGGGAAGCTGCTGAGCGCCTGGAGACTAGACCAGTAAAGGAGCAAAGGTCTGGCTGGCTGCCGCCCCCTGGTGGTAGCAAGAGGTGGCACTGTAAACTCCTGTGATTTTGTCAAGGTGACACTCTGTCCTGACCATTCTGGAGCAGCATTTGTCCCTAGTTAGAGACTGAGGCATGCCAGGAGCAAGGCACAGTTTCTGTTGCCCTCTTATCTTGAGGTGCTCCCGCCCTCCCAACTCCCCAACCACAAAGCCCTGCCCACATACATACAGTGCTTGACTGCTGCACTAAGAGATGGCCACCAACTTAAGAATGTTGTCTCAGGCTAGCAGGTGATATGGAGGATAAAGTGTGGGATCTCACATGGCTGACTACCTGGTTTGAGTCCTGACTTGGTGGCTTGAAAATTATACCAGGCACGTGTGCATGCATGCCCAAGATCCCGAGAGGAGAATGGAGGAGAAGGGATTGCGGTGTGGCCATCCCCCCTGGGGGGTGATTTCTCGCTTTCTGTCTCTCTCTGTCTAGTGAGCTCACACGCCCTATAGCAAAAACCTCTTAAAAAAAAAAGTTTTGATATAGAATGCATGTGTTTGCCAGAGAGATAGAAAGCGAGAAGGTACCCCCCCCAGAGGAAAATGGCTAAACCACAGTCCCTTCTCTGTTATCCTCGTGAGACTTTAGCATGTACTTACATGTTCCATGTTCCTAGTGTGCCTTTCAGGTGACTGGGTCTGGGATTCAAACCACACAGTTGGCCATGTGGGATCCAGCTGGCTTAACTACTATGCAATTGCCTGCCCCCCCCCGAACTTTTTTTTTTAAGAGAGAGATTTTTGCTATAGGGTGTTTGCACTTGCCAGAGAGAAAGTGAGAAAGGGGGTGAGGGTGGCCACACTGCAGTCTCTACTCCTTCATTCTCCTCTTGGAATCTTGGGCACACACACACACATGCCCAGCGTGAGTTTTAAGACACCAGGTCTGGAACTCAAACCATGGTTGACTATGTGGGAGTCCAGTGATGTAACCAGTATGCCATCTGCTGGTCCCACCCCCTAAGAACTTTGAGTGAAAAAATTGGGACTGGGGCTGGCAGGCAGTATGGTGGATAAGGGTGCTGGATTCCCACATGGCCGACCAGGGTTCAAGTCCCGGACCTGCTTTCTCGCTTTCCCTTTCTCTCTCTCTGGTGGTCAAAAAAAAAAAAAAAAAAAAAAAAGAAC